CACCACTAGATGTCCCTAGAACTTACACACTGAACCTTTAAAGAAGCTCATGAAGTCGTAACTACTGAGAGCTATGGGAATACTTGGCTCAATAGAGCTGTGACTCTCTGTCAGCCTGGCTACAGTGCTGAAAAGAAACCTGGGTGTGTTCCTATTTTCCTCTGTTAATGACGAGTAGTACGCTGATCTGGCATTACGGAGGGCCTTCCTATAAGTTTTAAGACTATCTTGCCAAATTAATTGCTTTAATTTGCGAGTTTCAGTATTATACCATGGAGCTAACCGTCTTTGTTTATTAGGCTATTTTCTTTTTTAGAGGGGCTACAGAGTCGAGTGTCATTCGCAGCGAGCCTGCAGCACTATCAACAAGATGATCGATTTGGGAGGGACTGAAATTAGCATAGGAGTCCTCCGTTACTTTGTGACTTGATAATGAATTTAGAGCTGATGGAATCGCATCCTTAAATTTAGCTACAGCACTATCAGACAGACATCTTGTATAGAAATTTTTGCCCAGTGGCGTGTAGTTCAGAAATACAAACTCAAAAGCTATCAAACAGTGGTCAGATAAAGAGGGATTCTGTGGGAACACTATTAAATGTTCAATTTCAATACCATATACCAGAACAAGGTCGAGGGTGTGGTTAAAACCGTGAGTCAGTTCATGAACACTCTGAGAGAAGCCAATGGAAGATAGAGTTGAAGATAGCTGCAACTCCACCTCCTCGGCCTGTGCCTTGAGGAATGTGAGTATTAATATGGCTGGGAGGGGTGGATTCATTTAGGCTAACATATTCTCCGTAACCCAGCTAGGTTTCAGTAAGACAAATAAATCAATATCATAATGAGTGAAGTGTAGGACTAAAGTGTCAGTCTTAGTGCTGATTCATGACACTTTGCTGTGCCGCAAACAGGATTTTGGATGACGATTTAGCCAAGGACCAATCACTGAATAGATTTCCTTATTTAAGAATATTCTCAGATAAATTCACATTGAATGGTGAAATTCCTAAGAGGAGTTTATATTCAACACACATTCAACAATAAATAATTTTCAAGATAATACATTATGATATGGGCCTACACTTTAATAAATGAAGATTAAAAAAAAGTTTCTTTATGAGTGCCATCAATTGCGCCTACTACTCCTGTGAAGCCGGCTATTTGCATGAATTGTGTTTTCTCTGTCGGATTACGGGTGTTGTTGGGAAGTCGATTAAACGCGTGACAATGTGTGGAGCTCTGAAACTCAAGTGCCATAATTGTTTCCCTGACTATTCGGCTTATTGATGGTTATGACGGGCCAAATCATCAGCATTGCTGTGATTATCCTGTGGCAAATAAACAAAAGAGTCATCATCACCTTCAGTTTAGCTGAAAACGCATTACTGCGTAAAGTCAGTGGTGAGATGGCGTCCCTCACCAACTCGCTGACAAAGTTTATTCTTATTAACTGCGCGTCGTCATATAATCAAAACAATATTCCTCTCCTGAAAGATTTGTGCATGTCTCTGTCTCCACAGTGCCGTCACAAGCTCTACTGGCAGCTCTTTACCACTTGAGAGACCTCTCCAGCTGTCTTAAATAACTGGGAGAGTAAGAGTGATTCTTAGCTTTAAGAAATTTGATAACTTGCTTTTATTCTTAAGATTTCATGAATTCTCAGCACTTAAGCCAAAAATGGCACTTTGAGAAGCTTGTCAAATACCAGCCCAGGTCTTCCCCAGAAAGTCTGCCAATGATCAGGATGAAGAGGGGGAAATAAAAGCAACCCCATGCAATATCAAAACTGTTTTGTTCTGTAGCAGCAGTGTGGTTGTTTGCTACCACATTTCTTTGTTAATTGTTTGACCATTTTCGTTTTGTGGAATTAACTTTCATT